GCAAGATGGGAATTATAAGACCTACCTCAAAGGGGTGCTGTGAGGAATAAACGAGACTCCTATTTATCGAGGACTTAGCATGGTACCCAACACAGGGCACATACTCAATAAATAAATTGCCGTTCTGATGGTTATGTTTCAGATTCTGCTGCCCTTCATTGCTCATTGGAGGCCCAACTTCATGGAACGTTTGCCACCTCCTTGGAGTGTTCCTGGATTCCTTCATATGAGAACAGGGTCTCTCTCTGCTGAGCTGGGGGAGCACTCCATTGGTCCTTCCTTCATAGCACTTACTGCCTGCTGCCATGGATTTACTTATGCATTGTATTTATTTATGTTACATGCTTTAGTTCTTCAATAATACTATCACTTCCTGGACGACAGAACTAGTATCTGATTTATTTTACTGTTCCTGACATTGCCTCACAACTCCTTGTACATCACAGATACCCAATAAATATAAATTGCCCCATGGATGAATATCTGTAAACACTTCGTCAATTATTTTATGATCCAGTGATTTTTTTCTTTTTTTTTTAAAGATTTTATTTATTTATTTGACAGATAGACAGCGAGAGAGGGAACACAAGCAGGGGGAGTGGGAGAGGGAGAAGCAGACTCCCCACGGAGCCGGGACTCTGATGTGGGACTCGATCCCAGGACTCTGGGATCATGACCTGAGCTGAAGGCAGACGCTTAACGACTGAGCCATCCAGATGCCCTATGATCCAGTGATTTTTCACAGTCTTTTGTAAAAATGGCCTAACCAGGTCATCTACAGGTTAAAGGGGACATAATTTAAAATGTGCAGTAACCGCTGCCTCTGGTCTGGGGCTATTTGGTTATGTTGTTCAGGCTTTCCAGCAATGTCTATCAGAGGCTGCTGGGAAAGGGCAGCAAATGTCCTTTAAGAGGCAGTTGGACTGGCCTGGACAGAAGACTATATTCTAAATTGCAGATTACTGTTCAATAAGTGAGTTGATGCTGATAATCTGTTCATGAAAAGGGAGAGAAAAATCTAATTTCATAATTACTGGAGCAAGAAGAGAGAATCAAAAGCTTAAACTGAATTTATGAAATAAAAAATGGTCAGAGATAGGTTTCTTCAAATGATTCAACCTGCATAATTATACTAGAAATCTGATCATCTGGGCTACATATTGATAGGATAGAAAGCATCCTAAGGACTAATGTACCAGGAGAGAAAGGGTACCGTGGACTTTCCCCTCTCTTCTCTGTTCTAAGTTACTGACTTCACATCTGTCAACCAACTTCCTATCACGGCTGAGGTAGCATTTTGGAAGCCCAACTCAGGAGCGAGTGTGACTTGTACTTGTGGACACAGCAGATGGGTAAGTGGGCCCATGGCGAACCGAGGGGACGGGACCGTGATGCCCCTGGAGCAGAGCCACGCTGCAGCTGCGCGAGGGGAGACGAGCAGACGACCGGCAGATGGAGGCCAGCCTTCAGGGGCAGCGCAGCCTTTGAAGTCAGGGCTGGCTGGTGCAGACAAACTGCTCTGAAATCAGGAACTGGATTGAGATTGAGGTTGGCAAAAAGGACATGACACTGTACTTGGACAGTATTGTCAACAGACCATGTTTCTATTTCCCTCTTATAAACTCCAGACAATGCAGATTTTTATGAGGTTATATTTTGGTAAGAAAGTGACATTAGGGACGCCTGGGTGGCTCAGTCCATTAAGCGCCTGCCTTTGGCTCAGGTCACGATCCCAGGGTCCTGGGATCGAGTCCCGCATCGGGCTCCCTGCTCCGTGGGGAGTCTGCTTCTCCCTCTGCCTGCCACTCTCCTTGCTTGTGCTCGCTGGTGCTCACTCTCTCTCTCTCTCTGACAAATAAATAAATAAAATCTTTTTAGAAAAATAAAAAAAAGAAAGTGAAATTATAGGAATTGTAAATAATATGTGTGGAGATGATGTGGGACATAGACAAAATCCTCCCATTGAGCAGTAATGCCCCAACTTGTTAATACTTTGGGGGTTTGATTTTTTTTTTTTTTTTGCTTTGTTTGCCAATGTCCTAGGCATGTAGACCCCAGATGTCATAAGAAGAACCCCACCCAGATTCCAAGGGAAATTCTATACCAATCCAGCATCGCTGAGAAACACAGTCTCTTTTTAAATCCCTTCTTCCTTCTCCTCTCCCATTCTTTGCCTGGAATTTTATTTCTGTGAGGTTTTTTTCCTATGAATAAGTGTGGAAGCAATTCCTACCTATTTCTTTCCCCCTCATTCCCTCAGGTCCAGTCACGGGTCTTCTTGCTGCTCCTGGACCATGCCAGGTTCGTCCTTTCCTCCAGGTCTTTGTACAGTCCCCCTGCCTGGACTGGTGTCCCCAGATACCTGGCTGGCTCTCTCATTCCCAGCAGGCACTTGCCCTGAAGTCTCCTTCTTGGGGAGGCCTTTCTTTCTTTCTTTCTTTCTTTCTTTCTTTCTTTCTTTCTTTCTTTCTTTCTTTCTTTTTTTTTAAAGATTTTATTTATTTATTTGAGAGAGAGAGAATGAGAGACAGCATGAGAGGGAGGAGGGTCAGAGGGAGAAGCAGACTCCCCGCTGAGCAGGGAGCCCGATGCGGGACTCGATCCTGGGACTCCAGGATCATGACCTGAGCTGAAGGCAGTCGCTTAACCAACTGAGCCACCCAGGCGCCCCTGGGGAGGCCTTTCTTAAGCATTGCTGTTTTAAACTGCATTGCTTCATCCTTTTTGCAGCTTTATTTTTCTCCATTGCACTTTCCAAAAGACATGATGTATATTTCCTGTACTTTGTGTTGTCTGTCTTGCTCCCCTCCATCTACTAGGGTGTAGGCTCCACAAGGGCAGACATTTGTATCTGTTTGGTCTGCTGTGTGCTCAGGGCCTAGAACAGTGCCTGGCATGGAGGAAGCACTCGTATGTTTGTTGAATACACAGATGGATACTAAGAAGGTGTGAGAACTAATATTCATGACTTGTTCTTCCTTCTGCCTCCCTCTCCGAACAGCTGGGTATCTGCAGAGTCGCCACAAAACCTTTCCAGATGTGGAGCAATGGAAGAGTTTCAAAATTGGTTGCAGATTCAAGCATATACACCTTTTGCAGATTCCAGACTAGGTGTAAATGAGATTTCAGCTCTGCTCCCCATTCGCCAGCCTGCACTTTCTGAAAAGTATTTTGAAAAGTATACATTCCAGGTTAAATAGATTCATATTCATTTCAGCATCTTTCAAAACAGAGAAATCAAAAGCTTCGCCAACAACTTAATTCACAAATATTTACGAAGCTCCTACCATGTGTCAAGCTCCCTGCGGCAGGCCTTGGCAGGAAGCACAAAGGAAAGAAGCAAAGTCCCAGTCCTCAAGTGCCTTAGGATTGAGAATGGAGTAGAAGGTAAACAAAGATAAAGAGAATAGAAGGCAGAATATGATAACTACTGATTTGGGGGTAGTATTTGTACTGCTGCTTTAATCTCTGGCTCTTAGTTATAGAAGAACCAACACTTCCATGATGAGAGACTCTTATGCTCAACTGGAGAGCCTTCCACTGGGTTGCTTCCTCATCCCAACGCTTATCCCCCCAGCCCCCCAGCCCCAGGAAGGAAAAAGGGGAAGAAAAAGCTGAAAGCAACGAAAAGGGGCCTTGAAGCCTTACGTTCTGCCCAGGCCTGGGGAAGACCAGACTCCTCCATCTTGCTCAGTGCTGCAGCTGATATGCAGAACCCATTCCATGTGGAGGGGCCCACAGGGCTGCGTGCCTGCTCTGAACCCGGCCAAGCTGCTCCCACCCCAGCTAGAGGAGCAGGGAGAAAGGAGAGGACAGTTCTGCTTTTATAGAACCTGGCGCAATCAGGCGGAAGGGGCCCTGGCTGGACCTGGTTCAGTCTCAGGGCCTCCTGTCATCCTTCGAGGTTAAGGTAATGGTAGCCTGGCCTTGCGGTGGCCCGTTCTCAAAGACAGTCTCCATGTAATGAATGCTTTCAGAAACAGTTTTAGAGAAAAGGAAGTATAGACAGACTTGCATGCACCAAAGCCGACCCAACTGTTTTGTGAATGATTTTTTTTAATTTGATATTTTTTTCTTAAATATATATTTATAAATAAAGGGGAAGGAGTCAACATCATTAAGTAGTATTCAGCCTGGGGAATGGGAGCCTGACGCAGTCCAAGGTTCCCTGCTGCGGCAGGGGCCACATGGGAAAAAAAGATCTGAGTGCTAGGGGAGTTCCCAAAGGGACAAGAGCATTTGGCTGGGCGATCTGGAAACACTGTGGAGAGGTGGCATCTAGTACAGTCCTTAGGCCAGAGAAGTCCCTGGACATGGATGTGACCCCACATGGTAGATGGCCCCACTCACCCACAGCCTTCCCTATGGAGCAAAGAAAAGCACCGTGCTTTTAAAACACTTTTTTTTTTAAAGATTTTATTTATTTATTTGAGAGAGAGAGAATGAGATAGAGAGAGCATGAGAGGGAGGAGGGTCAGAGGGAGAAGCAGACTCCCTGCCGAGCAGGGAGCCCGATGCGGGACTCGATCCAGGGACTCCAGGATCATGACCTGAGCCGAAGGCAGTCGCTTAACCAACTGAGCCACCCAGGCGCCCTAAAACACTTTTTTTTAGGAGGCTGTGTCCTTAAGTGGGTTCTCTGACGTATCTGGTGTGTGTGTGTGTGTGTGTGTGTGGTGTGTGTGTGTGTGTGCGCACCTGCACAGGGTTGGGTAGGAGCCCTCATTTTACCCACGTAGAGGCTTCATTCACAAAACAAGGGCGTGGGTTATCGGGGGTATCAAGCCCTCTGACAGCACCCTGGGGGACCAGTGAGTGGTCCCGGGCACTTCCCCACCCCAAGTCCAGAGCAGGGCTCTCTACTTCACTTACAACTTGAGATTACCTGTAAAATTATATCCTGAGGTTTCCAAACCAGGACAAAAAAGGCTCCAGGTCTTGGGCTGGAGCTCTTAGATCCTTTCCAGGCTCCAGTTCCTGGGGTTCTGTGATTACGTAAGATGAAGCAGCAGCTAGGTCCCTGGAGGAATGCAGCGGAACACGGACCACTGATGTGGGTTGCCATTGTCCGTGACTCTAAATATCTTCCCTCTCTGCCTCCCTTCCAGGGACTCACTCGCTGACGTATTTTCGCCTGGGCATTTCAGATCCCAGCCATGGGATCACTGAATCTCTTTCTCATCCCATCATTGCATATGAGTGTCTCTTGGCAGGAGGAGCCGTGGGCTCCGTGGACGGTGGAGAACCCCTTGCCTGGTCCCTGGGAGAGGTACACTCAGCTGCCGAGGGGCTGGGGCTGGCGCATCTGTAGTCACCGCGATCACTCAGGTGGGGAAGGCAGCAGAGATGAATGCTTGCCCTTACCAGCCCCCATTCCTGCAGAGAGGTCCTTGGGCTGACAGTGAACAGGAGCAGTTGCTGAGTTACACTCTTTTGGCAAAGCCGGGACAATCTGGTCGATCGTGTTCAGTGTCTGCCATCTGCCCGAAGCGTCTTCCAAATCCTCTCTTCCTCGGGAGCCCTTTGTCCTTTGCCCCCCATATCCTGATGCCACCCCCATTCAGGCTTCTAACCTGTATCTTCTCCTTTCTCATTCTAAATTTGGCCATTCTGTGTCTCATTTCCTGGTGGCCAGGCTTAGTGAGCCACTTGCTTATGCACAATGGCTTACTACATTAACTTTCCCAGGATATTTCTGGCTCTTGCATATCTTCCTCTCCTTTATTGCATTATAAAATTTATAATTGATCTTTCCTATTATCGAATAATTCCCCAAGGCAAAAATTATCATGTTCCTACGGCGTGCAAATGTCTGTTGCTAGGTGGGTTATGTCATAGGAACCTCCCGGAGGCATGCCTGTGGGATGATGTATTCGGGGGCAGAGGATGCATACCCCCAGTCATCCACTGGATGCCCACCTTTATGTCTCTGTCTAACCCCCTTCCTGACCCACCTAGGTTTCACACCAGGGTTTCACACTTACCAGAGGATGACGGGCTAGGAGTTGCTAGAGGACAGAAGCACCACATTTGTCCAGCATGCCTATGATGGACAAGATTTCATTATCTTAAATAAAGATACCGTTTTCTGGATGGCTACAGATAATATGGCTCACATCACCAAGTGGGCATGGGAGGCCAATTGGCATGAGTTACAATATCAAAAGAACTAGCTGGAAGGAGAACGTATTACCTCATTAAAGAGGTTCCTGGAGTATGGGGAAGCTACTTACAAGGACAGGTAAAGAAAAGGGAGAACATCAGGTCCCCAGAGCCCTTGGTGTATATAGAACTTCCTCTAATCTAGGTTATAGTCACCCTATTCTGAAATCCATCTTGTGAGTTACACTATGGTGATCTGAAACTCCCCGTGAAAACTTCCCTTAGTTATTTTTTATCAGCATCTGGACAAGATTCAGCAATTCCTCCTGTCTTGATGGTGGAGTACCTTCAGGGACACCTCTTTTTTGGGGGTATCCATTGAGACAGTCCTTCCATCTCCTGTCAATGATAAGCTGGGAAATACTTTGGGAGGTGGAGCAATCCTCATTTACCAAGGGCTCACACAGTACCAGTATGAGTGAAAATCTGGTCTTACAAAGAAGACAAATGGAGAGTCTGTGCTTTACTAAAGGATTTATGTTAAGATTTCTTTCAGGAAAAAGCTCATCAAAGATGAGACTCAATCAGTCCACTTTTAGTTAATGCAGACTTTTCACTTATAATCTTATTATTTTAAAAAATTCTTATTATTTAAAATGCATTTATGTCTGTAGCATGCTCTGGGTAACTCCTGGACACAATGCACCTCTTCCCACTGGAGTTATCTCTAATGGTGGGACTTTCCAGAGCTGCGGTGGGCCTTGGGAAGACATCTGGGTCACGGTTACGAATGTAGACTCTCTGTCTAAGGGTATTGGCTTTGGAGGCAGATGACTAGAGCTGGAACGTCAATCCTTCCACTCATTGGCTGACTTAGCCATCTGAATTGCAATGGTTGCAGGTAATAGAAACCTACTCAGACTGGCTTAGACACAAAGAAGGAAGCTATTTGGAAGGCAGGAATCAGGGCAGTGTGAGGATCCAAGGAATTTAAACCAAGATTCAAATGAGGAGGGGATATTGCCGCCAGCATAAAGCTCAGAGATACCTTCAGCCCTTCACCATTCCAGAAGAATGAGCTTCCCTCTCCCCGCTCTGGTTACAAAACTTTTTTTTTTACATAGGAGAACTGTGGTTGGTCTGAACTGCATCACAGGCCACCCCTCGGACTCATTGCTGTGACCATCCGGAAGAGTGTCTAAGATCGGCTGTGGGTAACAGAGTCCTGGTAAGAAATAGGTGACGTACTCAACGTGATTTAGCCAAGGAGAATTCAATCACAGGATTATTCACAGAGAGACCATCAGGATTGAGGAAACCCAAAGTCAGGTACCCAGAGGCATGCAGCAGAAGGAAGCCGTTACATCCCCAAATCTGAAGGGGCAGGCGAAGGCAGGGGCCCTTGAAGAAGCACCTTCTAGCAAGTCCTGTGCCTTTGGAGAAACACAGCCACTGGCAGACCGCAGTGAGGTGCTTGGAGAACGGGTCCCTGAGAACCCCAACCTTTCTCTCCTCTGGCTTTCTGACGTTTGCTGAGGATGTTCCCCCTAGCAAGCGGCCAGACCTGGCCAGGCCAGGGAGCCCTGGAGGGGCAGTCTGAGGGCCACAACCTTCCAGGGCACAATACAGAGCAGAAGCTGGGTCTGGGGGCTAGCAATGAGAGAGTAACCAGTGCATGATGGGCTGTGTTTGGGTTCCAGGTTTAAGATGGGTGCTTCTCAACCAGAAGCACACATTGGAGTCAGGAGAACTGATTTTCCAATGTATGTTATGTGTTTGTCAGGAGCAGGGGTTCCTCTTATCAGAAAAAAGTGGAGCTTACAGATGCTAAGGTGGCAAAGCAGTAATCTTGAGTAAAAGAAACAGTTGTGATAATGCCTACATCCCAGACATTGGTGTGAAAAATGTGCATGAAGGCACTTTGTACAGATAGTTCTCTGCTTACACATTACATCTCATTATTGTTGCCGGGCTGAAGAAGTTCTGACAGCTTGGGATCTGGCTGAAATCTTTGGCCAGTTTGGGGTTGTACTGGGCCCTCAGTCACTGAGACATTGTAGGCCAAGGCTAGGTACAAAGAGGGGCCCTAGGAGTCTCCACTCCCAGATCCTGATGAGTGGCACAGCCTTGGACTGCAAACAAAGAGAACCCTTAGTTGCCTGGCCTCCTGCTCCCAGGGAAGGGAGGGAAACTGGGGAGATGGTAGGAAAACTGGAACAGAGTTGCTATCAGTTGGGATTTTAGGCTTAATACTAATCCTGTTGGTTCTCTCTGGGGCGAGGAGCTCTTTGGAAAGAAAGGGGAGAACCTGGACTCCCAGGTTGTGTGGGAAGAGTATGGGAAGAATGGCTTCAGTGTATCTGCTCCCCCTCCCATTAGGACCATGAGTGTCGTAATAGGCTCTCAACCCTTTGGTCAAAATCCATTCCTAGAAAAATATCTGGGAACGATTTCTTCCGGGCACTGTCAAAAAGCAGTATCTCTCCTTGTGGGATTCATATTTTATTTTTCATGTTGGGAAGCCTTTTTCTCCTACGAAATTTCATGCCTCAGGAAAAATAGAAAGAAGGTGTTGTTGAGGTAAAGCTCTTCCCTGTATCCGAGGGCCAGATAGCAAGGTGTGTGTGTGGGGGGGAGGTGTGTATGAAAAGGTGAGGCCTCCAGACGAGCAGGAGGCAGCCCTTCCAAGATGCCGTCAGGCTCTGTACGGCTCACATCTGGATGGGACCCAATTCAGAGGGAATATTAAGGACAGCACCATCTGGAAAATTAGCAGAAGAGTCAAGAGGAAGCAAGGCCCCCAAATAGACAGTTTTTTGTTGTCACTACTGGAGCCCCTTTGTGATATGAATTTCTGGAATTCCTTCGAGGGCATAACCACAACATGATCTATTGATTACATATGTCTGTTTCTGATGACAGTCACTGTTTTAGTCCATTTGGCTGTACAACAAAACACCATAGGCTGGGGAAACTTATCAACAATAGAAATGTATTTCTCACAGATCTGGAGACTGCAAGTCTGAGATGAGGGTGTCAGTGTGGTCGGATGGGGGCCCTGTTCTCAGTTGCAGACTGTGGGCTTCTGATGGCATCCTCACATGATAGAACTGGGCTAGGGATCTCTCAGAGCCTCTTCTGTAAGGCCCTAAGCCCATTCATGAGGGTTCCACTGGCATGACTTTTTTTTTTAAGATTTTATTTTTATTTATTTGATACAGAGAGAGAGAGCATAAGTAGGCAGAGCGGCAGGCAGAGGGAGAGGGAGAAGCAGGCTTCCCACTGAGCAGAGAGCCCGACACGGGGCTCGATCCCAGGACCCTGGGATCATGACCTGAGCCGAAGGCAGACACTTAACGACTGAACCACCCAGGCGTCCCTCCACTGGCATGACTTAGGCACCTCCCAAAGTCCCCACCTACTAATACCATCACCCTTGCCGTTAGGGTTTCAACACGTGAACCTGGAGGGGACACAAACATTCAGACCATAGCAATCACGAAAGTGCCAGCCCCAGGACACCAGGCAGCTCAGAGCCAAAGCAGAGCCATGTTGGCTGTGATCTCTCTCTGCACTAGCACGGAATTGAGAGTAAGGAAGCCTGAGTTCTAATCTCCAGGCTTTTGCTGAATTACTCATCACAGTCACACATGTTGTAACTCAGTTTTCCTTTTCTGTGACTCATAAGAGTATTTCAAAGGTTAACAGTAAATGATCCCGACACACTTTCCAAACACTCAAAACTATGTGGCTTTTCCCCCACTTAGAGGACAGAATATGGCTCAACTCCACATTCGTCATGGAACCTATCGGACATGGGTATCAGTTGAGCTGGATCCTCAGAGCGGCGACCTCTACTCCTACCCAAGCAGACTGTGGCCTCTGCGTGGTTCTTCAAGTCCCCCAGGATAAGGACGGGTTGTGGCTGTCTGGGGAGTGAGAGGGAGGGAAAGGGCAGAGCAGGAAACATTGTGTGCTTTTTTAAATCAGTGGTTCTCTTGCTCTTTGGCCTTAGAGCTCCTTTATTCTTAATTATTGAGGACACCAAAGAGCTTTTGTTTCTGTGGGATATATCTATTGCTATTTACTGTATTATAAATTAAACATTAAAAAGATGTTTAAGTACAAGAAAACACAAGCTCATATCTATTGACCGTCAGAGAGATGATGTCATCATGTGTCAGGTAGCCTCCAGAAAACTCCACTGGGCACATGTGAGAAATGGAGATGAAAACAAACAGGGAAATCATGACTTAGACCTCACGGACTCCCTGAAAGGGTCTTGAGGCCCCTGGGGCATTCACATCACACTTTGAGAACTGCCGTTCCTCTGTTTTCATTTATCATCCTACCCGGAGCTGTGAAGTGAGAAGTGTCAGTAAGATAAGTAGGGCTGGGCTTCCTGCTGATCACAGGGACAAGTCCCTAAAAGTTGACAGAGAAGGGGAGGAGGGCTTGTGGAGTTTTCCTCACTTACTGGCTTTCAGAACCAGAAACGATAGGCTGAGGGTCCATTGTGGGAGGGGCTGGAGTTGGCGTGGGGGGGGGGGGGAGCGGGGGAGGGTCCGCAGAAGACCCCATGGCTGTGAGGGAGGTGGAGGGGGGGACTCAAGGGCCCACAGATTGTCTCTCCTGCAGCTCCACACAGTCTCATTTTCTGCACCAGCCACTCCAAGCTCCATTTACAAATGGGTTGGGCCTCACTTTGCGATCACAGGAGGACCAGGAACACCGCTCCCACGATAGAGGAAAGCACATCTTGGTTAGTGCTTGCAAGGAGAGGGGCGCCTGACAACCACAAAGCCCAACGCCCGTCCAGGTGAATCGCCCTCATAGAAGTTGAGTCAGAGAAGGTATGGCGATCTTGATTGGTCTTTTTCCAAACTCTATCTTTATTATTAGTTAATATCAACTTTTGAGGGAATTTTGTCCTTGGTTTCAAGACTTGAGTAAGTTTTCCCATTTTGACACTTTTTCCTCCCAATCATGTGAAAATCCTTTTCTTTCTAAAATAATCGTTCAACACATGAAATGCTGAAGAGTAGATACCTTTGGAAAATGGGATTCAGGGGAAGGAAAAGGGGAAGGAGAAATGGAAGATATACAGGCTCTTGATACTTTGGGGAAAAATTAATTCATTCAATAACTATGTATTTAATACCTACTATGTCCTGGGCACTGTACTGGATTCTAGAATATAGCAGTGCAAAGGACAGACATGATTCCTGCTGTCAGAGAGTTTACAGGCTAGTCTTATAACATCATTCCCCTGCCTCTGGCTTCTTTAGGTGCACAAACTGATCACAGCATAATATTGATGGGACCTGGATTATGGGATTGAACCCACTGTGAGCTAGGAGTTTGGCTTTGCTTCATAACCACAGACTTCAATCTCAATTCAGGTGATACTGTGCAAAGCATGTTATTAGATCAAAGTAAAACCAGCCCCTTTCCTAGAAAATCAACTCAGGAGTTAGTGAGTCATTGATGTTTTCCTTCTAAAGTAGGCACTAATCCCAATCCAATAAGAAATAGCTGCTGAAGAAAAAAAAAATTAACAATGACATACCCCTTTCAAGACTGATACACACTGTGAGTTCCTTCTTATCTCGTGGAGTTTGTGAATTTGAGTTAAAATTTGTCAAATACTAAGAGAATCTTGACAAAGCAGGCTAAAAATGTCAATGCTGGGTTCTCAGATTTTGCTGAATATTGCATAATTTGTTTTTGAGCTATAAGGAAAATTGCATATATCTGACTAAAAACTTTTCCTTTCAAAGCAAAATGGAGTCATCAACCTTTTTACACCAGATCAATGATTGAAGATAGCTCTTTCCCAGTGGTTTTTCCTCTAGGAAGCATGGTCCCCTTGTCCCCCATAGACTCAAGTCCAGTGGTCAACATTCTTGGCCACATCTATGATAACCTATGGATATCATAGGTTTGAGCCTTTATGGCGGAAGGATAGGGAATCATGAAATTTTCGTGAGATCAGAGAATCTCAGAGCTGGAGGGAACCTTCTGATCCAGGACAGGAAATGTCCTCTACGGTACCTCTGACTTGAGCATCCAGCCTCCACTGGAATACCACCAGTTCGGGGCAGCTCACTACACTCTAACATGCTCTTCCTCTTCTTTCACGAGAATGTTTATTATGTAAGAGCTTTGAACATCACAGGTGCCTTTGCGGTGACCCTACGGACAGGGTTAGATCAGCCCATGAGATTAGCCAGTGAGTTTCTACAGTGGCCTATGAATGGCTGGATCATTTTACACATTTCCTGGCCTGAGAGAAAGTGAAAGTGCCCTGTTCTTATGGCAAACCTGCCGGGTAGCTTGGAATCTTGGAAGTATGCCTGCGGAAATGATCTCATTCTTTCTGATGTTTGTGGGAAAGTAAGGACACTAATTATCAGACGTTTTATCACCTTCGGTAGCACCGCAGTGACCTGGACCCAACTGCAATCTTGAATGCAAAAATGAGAGTATGTCTCAGTCTCAGACAGGGGTTCAATTCTTTCTCTACCGGCTTCTCATAGATGGGCCTGACTCACCTTTATACATATGCTTATTCTCCATATGTATATGCACTGGGAATAAAGAAAAGCCTCACTAGGAGAATGAACATCCCCTCGATCCTCCTTTATTCCCCTAAAATCCTCACCATCATTTACCTCTTGTCCTGCTGAATTGTCCTAGGATGGACAGCAGTTACATTCATCTGTCCCACTCCTCTGACTCTGAGCACACACCTCAGCCCAGACACTTCCTTCGGTGGCCCCAACTTTGACAACTGGCTTTGAACATGTACCTTGGGCTTGACCTTTCCCCTCCCTTGACCATGACATTTGCCCTCTGGCTTTAATATCGCAACCACAGGTAAAGACAGTCTCAGTGTGCCAGGCCTTAAAGAACCCACTTGCCAAGCCTACTTCTGGCTTCACTGTCCCCACCTACTTCCATGGATGAAGATCCTACTGTACACCTCTCACCTCTGGTGCCAACTGAGTCACAGAAAAACACAAGTGTCCCTGCTTATCTTGTTTTCAGGGTTGCTCCAGGCAACTTCTATGCCATCTGTTAAACAGTGTTGCACTGTGAAGAGGGCAGCTTTATGTGGGGAATGGTTTCTCACCATTAAAATAGTTAGGACTTAATATATTTCTGGATGGACACTGAGAGTCAAACAGGTGATACGTCTATGTAAATATCTTCTCTCTCCAACTGTGTGGTACTCTCCTCAGAGGTATGAATGATCAAGGCCTCTTTGTGCTCCCAGGGCTTCACCCTATACTTCACACAAAGCGAAAATATCCAAATGGATGAAGAGGAAGAGGCAGAGGCAAGGTCAAGGATGTGGTGAGAAGACCTTCTGTAATGCGCTTGCTGCATTTCTGCCTCTCCTGTGGGGATTTTATAATTTAAGAGCCACATACATGTAACATAAAGGGGTGCTTTTAAATAATACCCAGCATGTTGTAACCTTCATTTTACCAGTGGTTCAAAATTTCATTATTTCTTAATAATTATAGATCTGTCATGGCTTTGTTAACTCATGTTTGCTGATGACAGATGCTCAGTAACTGGAATCTATGAAATATCTGATAACATAAATATCAAACACAACAAACTGTGCTGTCACCAGAATCAGGTTTTGACTTTGGGCTGTCTTTACCTAATATGTGGGTTAAGAACACTGGACGAGAAATCTGTTCAGCTCTCCCTCTCCCTCCTCTTCCTCCTCCTCTTCCTCCCTCTCCTCCTCCTCCCTACTTCTTCCTCTTCCACTCCACTCCATTTATCATCTGTTTTCCTTTTAAGCACATACAGACCAAGATGTAGCTGGTCTCCAAGGCAGTGTAATGGAAAGGAAAGCAGTTTGGAAAGCAGTGTGAAGGTCAGGCGGGGTTTTCCCGGGGGCCGGACTGCTCTGCCCCAGGGGTCCTGAGCTGTCCCATCAGATGGCTGGCCTCCCTCCTCTCTCTGGCTCTCTCTTCTTGCTCCCACTATTTTTTAGTTCTTCTGAGCCTTCCCTTATTTCTGAGGAGCTGCTTGGTTTTTCCTCTTCTATTTTTGGCCCGAGACTGTTTCGGCAGTTGCGGCCGTGAGGAATAGTCATCCACTAGAGAGGCCAGTGATCACTTTCTGGCAGGGTCCCTCAGCAGGGTCACCCCCGATTTGATCACGTCTGGGGTCTTTGTCTTCACATGTGCAGGTCAGGTGGCCCCACGCGCTGATCAGATGAGTGCATAAACTCCAAGGCCAATGGATTAATTTACGGTGAGAAACACGATTGCCAAGTGGGTCAGATGTGTGTCTCAGCTGGTCAGCAAATTTTCTGGCAGCAGAGTCTATGTGAGAACAGCTAATCAGGGTCAGAAGAGTGCTTGGTGGCCCCAGAATCGGTGCAACGGGACACATTCTTGCTCTTTAGCTCTTCCTTTCACACACAATTTTGCAGAGTTTTCGCAGTTCGCAGAGTTTTCTCCAGCAAGGAGAGGGCCCTTGCCTGAAGACTCAGGCAGGGGGCGGCGGCTCTAGGAGGGAACCCAGGTCTCCCAGCCCAGGCATTTCCCACTTGACTGAGGAAGAGTCCCTCATCACCCTTTCTGAATGCCTTCACTACCTCTCTTTCTTTGGACATTTGCCATCTTTGAGCCTTTTATCTCTCTGGGACATCTCTGCATCTCCCTTTCCCACTGGCTGCCTTTCTCCGATGTCCCTCTGGCTTCTGGTTGCTCCAAACCCTGCAGGTTGTGTAACAAATCCCAATTCTAGTGACCTCAAATGGCAACAATCATTTTTTTATCTTTTCCAGTCTCGGTGAGTCAGGAGTTTAGGTAGGGCTGGGCTGGGTCTTTCTGGCTTGGGGTTGCAGTCAAATACTGGCTGCAATTTGCTCCAGGTAGACTCAGGACTCTCCATGTGGCCTCTCTGTGTAGATTAGATTGGGCTTCCTCACAGCATGGTGGCCTCAGGGCAGCGAGACTGCTTCATGACAGCTAGCCTCCCTCAGTATCCCAAGAGTATCCCAAGAGACCAAGGCAGAGGCGCATAGTATTTCTATGACCTAGCCTTGGAAGTCACATAGTGTGACTTTTGCCATTCTCTAAGTCAAGAAAGTCACAAAATTTCTGCTCAGCTTCAAGGGGAGGGGACATAGACCCCAACATTCAATGGGAAGATTGTCAAAGTCACATCGGAAGAACATATATCGGATGGGAGATACTGTGGTCAGCTTTGGCAAGATAAACATGTCCCAGTTGCCATGCCCCACCATCCTCTCCCCATTCCACCCTGTATTGGTTTCTTAGGGTTTCCATGACATTGTAAGGCAAATTGGGTGGCTTCTAAAACAACAGAAATTTGTTCAAAATCAAAGTGTTGACAAGGCCATGCTCCCTCTGAAGGCACCAGGGAAAGAATTGTTCCAGGCTTCTCTCTTAGCTTCTACTAATTCCTTGGCTTGTGACTGTATAACTTCAGTCTTCACATGGTGTTCTGTGTGTGTGTGTGTGTGTGTGTGTGTCTGAATCTCCCTTTGTTATAAGGATACCAATCATACTGGATTAGGAATCCACTCT